AAAAAAAAGATTGACGTTTTGAACATTTGACAGTTTTATATTTTTTGTGAGGAAACGACAACATAAATAATACTGTTTGTTCGTTAAAGTTATTACATTTTTTTGAAATAAAGTTTATCTGAAAATCTAGAAGTTGTGTGTATTAATTTTGAACAAGATTGCTTTATTGCCGCATTCTAATCGGCATGTCAATCTTATCATTCATTTCATTAAAAAAATTGACGTACATATTCGTATAAGAGAATTTGGAGTATAGAAATGCACAATGATATAGATCTATTCATTTGAAAAATATATATATTACAATATCATAATTATAGAATTGTATAAGGAAAACATGCCTCTTAGAACAATGAGGGAGTAATGAAAATTAAAACATTTGAAGAACACTCATGTTCAACGTGCATTCGCAATGGTAGACTTTCGTTGAGAGTAAATGAAGGACCTGACGTTATTTGTATCTTGTATGAGATGTCTGTCTTGAATCTTGATTTGTAAGGTATAATAAAATAGATATCACATCTAACTACGGGTGATATAAACAAAATGTTTACCCTTGAAAAAATAATGTCAACGTAACACTACGTTTGACATCGCAAGTTAGTCTCGGATGAACATTTTTTTCTATCACAGTCACTAGGATATATCATTAATACATGTACATAATACCGTTATTAAATGTGTTCTTTCTTTATTTATAAATCTCAACGGAATTTTTGATAATTTAATAGCCACGATGAAGTTAGAGATCCGACCAAAAAATGTAGTGGCCGCCTGAGCGGTTACTATTACATTTTGTCGGACCACTAAAGTTTAGCTACGCGTAACCGCAAGGACTTTTTTGTATAAAAAAAACTGTCAAGAATGCGCAATACATTTTAAAAGAAATTATGTGATTAACACAATATGATTTCCCTCGTTGGACTTATACCAACGGTATAATATAAGAAATAGCACACAGTAAGTCGAATCTCATAGCATAACAGCGACTTACAAATCACCCCAAACAGTTGTACAGACCGAAACCAAATGTTTTGAGGGAAAACTATCGGCCAAGCCCCCAAACATCGGCTTAAGCAGAACTCAACGTGGTGAAATTCCGAATTTCGAAACATCCGCAGATGTGTTCATACGGCGGTTATCTTGGAACATTCAATGTGACACAGTAGTGTCATTCCATTAAAAGTGGCGTATGGTCCCCAAACAACGGAAGTGGTCTGGATTCTAGGACTTTGTATTACTTAAGCGCCAGAAATACTGTCATCTTTCGCTAAACTAAATCTGCAGTTTCGACAAAATGTAAAGAAATTAGGTTCCAGCGTAAATTTTTTTATCAATATATCAGACTCATATAATAACTCCGCAGTCCACTTAGTCTTCCATTAAGGAAAGAATTGTTACAAATGAAACGTTTGTATACTTGAAATGAATTGTATAAGATATGGTAAGTATGCAGGTGACATAAGCAGAAAGTCTTTATCGTACAATCTTTTAAAAGCTTTACCTGATCAAAATTCTTTTCATTCATATCTGCTTGCAAAACATATTATAAATAGTATTGTTCTTTTGGAAATTTATGGTAAATGGACTATAGAATATATTTTAAGATAATTTTGATAAGGCAATGTAGGTAACATTCGTATCTGATTTAAAAAAAATTATCATCGTACGCCTGTCACAAATTTATGCAATATTTATGAGGTGCCAGATTTGTAAAAGCTCTAAGTGGGTTGTCAGAGAATACAATATAGCCTTTCAATTTCTTTTTTTTTTTACATTTGTATCTGAACTGATATAAATTGTTTTTTAATAGTTCTACATGAGTAACAACATTTGTGAAAACGTAAAACAGGGAAATTCTGCATTTTCTATCGGAAACTAGTGGATGGGTATATCTTAAATATAAAATACTTTGTTGACAACTTAAAAGAGATTTGAATTTAAACAAACTTGGCCAATGACAATAGTATTGGGGTAAAATATTAAGTCTAAACTGTCTGTAAAAAGGACATACTAAAAGGAAATGATATTCATTTTCTATACAATTCATTTTACATTTAGCACATTTTCCTTGGTTTCTATTCATGTTTCTATATCTCCCTTCTCCAATAGCTAGATTATTATGACAAACAAATATAATATATCACCCAAAGAAAAAACTTCTTCAGCGTCAGAATAAAAAGAGATGAACTGTGTGTGCTATATCCTTGAATATGGCATTCATGATAAGGGCGTTGCTGTTTTAATATTTCAATCAGATAAAAACCCTTGATGAAAAATTTTACCTGCATGGTGCTCAAAACATAAGATCTTTTAAAACAGCGTTTTGTTATTATATTTTTTTAATTATATACTCTGTAACCGTTATCTTAAGGGAACTCCATCACTCATAACAATATACATATCATTTAAATTCTTCATGCTCAAATATAATCTAGTAACAGATCAATCACTAAAGAATGCATTTCTAAAAGAAAAGTCGGTTATGATTCTACAATTTAAATCTATATTAGTGTAAAATACATGTACATGTCCGTTTCGCATGTATTGATTCTTTCCGCGACGACGTTGTTGTTGTTATTGTTGTTATTATTATTATTATTATTGTTGTTGTTGTTGTTGTGTTGTTGTTCAAATTTCTTATAAATAGTAAATATTGAACATCATTTGTTCCAAATTACGTACAAAATGTCAGCCATTTTTTTTATTTTTTTTTCCCTTAATTTTTTTCCTTTAATGTTCAAAGAGCACAGGACGGTTCTTAATATTTAGTATTTTTTTCCCTTAGGAGCTTTAAAAAAACGGTCTCTGTAAATACTCTGTAAATACTCTTTTAGAGTTTTAGGTATCATTCAATATAGGTCTAAGCTATTCTTTCCAAAAAAAAAAACACAACCTTTCATCATGCTATTTATGGAATGAATCATAATACATGTACATGCTTATAAAAATGGCTTGCAAATGCAAAGTTAGTTGAAAACTGTCATTAAATCTATTCATGTTATTAAATTTAACATGAGATTTTTGGTATTCAAAACTTGGTAATCATCCTTGTGAAAATAGTGGCATTCATGACGATGGGTTCATGATATGGACGTAATTAAATTTCATTTAAATATTAAAGTATTAAAGTTTATCTGAAATATACTTTATTGTCATAAAAGATGTTTAATTGCTTATTCATGTACGCATACTTTTACCAAGTTTGTTTTATTGCTGCTCTCAGCTCTCATTTCAAGGGTTCAGTGAAACAGAAAACGTTTAAAGTCGTATGAGAATCTTTAAGTACAGACGGTGATATATTTATTTATTATAAAGAATTGCACAATATATATAGAACATTATAACAAATATATAATATGTCACTGATTACATTGTTTTATGGAGTGATTGGAATACAACTGTAATATTTCAGATAGGCACATATTATCGATGACAATTTGATTAAAAACTATATTCGCAAATCACACAAATCACACACCCAAGAGACACTCCGAATCCCTTTCTTGAATAGCTCTTTGTCTTTTTTTAAGTTATTGTAACTTTCTATCTGATTGCGCCATTTTGTTGTTCGTAAAAGATATCCAAGTTCATTCAATTCAAGATGTTACTAATCTATTTTTTCATATCTTCGAAGATGGTTCAGCAAGACATCATTATTGTGTTTATGCTTCTCTTGCTGGTAGTTTTAATCTTTTCGTAGATCCACTTTTATTCTTAAGCATTTTGAAGCCTATTTTACCCGATGGTTAAGTATGTGGGGTGGCGATTGTGTCTAAGTTACTTCCTGTGTGCCGATTTCTGTTCATAACTGTACAGTGCTGCCAATGTCATTGGTGTTTTGTGTAGACGCATGTATAATGTACTTCAAAAAGAAATAATTCTAATGTGGTGCCCAACTGTGTACCTTTGGATGAAATGTGTAAATAATTATTCCATCCAATGGGACCACAAAGGATTTCTCATAATCAGAACTTTGATACAGGATGTCAATAAGATGCCCGGACTTTTCGCCTTTCTAATCGATGAATAAAATAGCTAAGACAAGCAAACACATTGTTACATCCAATAAGTATATTCAAAGCTAGTCAACTTCAGTAAAAATATACAAAGTCATCACCAGCGTGGTTGATAAAGTTTCATCAAAAGCCTCTCATATAGAAAAAAGTATATCTTTTATACAAACAAAAACTATTACAATGTTTTTATCGCCTTATATTTCAATAAAATTCCAAATCATTTGTTTGGCATGAAATAAATTATTTAAATGTCATTATATTATTTTTTGCGCTATATTTGCTTTATATTTAACAAAAAAGCTGGATTATTATAGTCATTGACCAATAATTGATAACAAAAAAAATTTGGCATAAAATAACTGAAACAATTGCCTAAAATATGAAAAGAAATAAAAGAAAACATAGCATTTTTTTAAGTCTGATTTCTTACATCAAAGAATAAGTCATAGTGAAAACCCTTGTTAATTGCGAAGTTTGTCATACTTAGTTACAGACTCAGGGAACATGCATATTAGGTGCATAACAAATAACTTCACAGCTTACTTTTCAAATTACATGTAGATATCTACAGTTACAGCATTTTTCCTACAAAGATGCACAAAAGTGCAAGCCATAACGCAGCATTCTGGTACAGGTTACGCCCACTGCATGCGACGTCATCGCCATACAAGGAAAGATACGCATGCGATTGTATTCCACAAGCTGTGAGGCTGAAAGATGCCTTGTAAAAATTATCGGCAAGATCTTTCAATGCGGGGGTGCAGCTGGATGTAACTGTGAACCCAATGCAGCTAACTGCAGTTGTCACTGCACTGAAATAGAATGGTTAGTCTGATAATAAAATCAAAGAGATATTTCACTTGTTATCATATGTATTGTGAATATCACTATTTACATAGATATATCTTTTATGATTTAATTTTTTATATCTGGACATTTTATAAATTTGTTCTAGTGAGATTCGTCAGAGACAAATACATATCGCTAAGTTATAATGTCAGCAATATATCATTCCAGATCACAATCGCATACAATCCGGATTTTCTTTACACCGGGTGATAAACAATTTAAATACATTTACCCTTTACCACATATATTCGCGAAACAACGCACTTTCGACCCCCCCCCCCTTTTTTTAGGCCTCAAATAGTGAAAAAATGTCCTATTTGGGCCCCAAACATAAGTTTTCGTTTGAGAAATGTTGCTTAAAAAATTGAGCACTTTTTCGGCGCCGCCCCCCATCCAAAAGATACATCAGGGGATTGCCAGAAGGGGGATGTGCCCCCTACTGTTAGGGGGGGTTTGAAGGGGGGCGGAGTCCCCCTCATCGCCAAGAAAATTTTGGACTTGTGAGAGGCTAAAAATGACCCCAGGTCGATCATAATGTAACTTTTAACCAACGCTGAAAAGCCTTTGACTCTATCTCAATCCCTTGAGCAGTTGCAGCACTTTGAAATAAATTTTGATGGAAAAAATCGAGGCAAAATAGTGATTTTTGGCAATTTTGAGATGTCCCCTCGTTGCCATAGTAACAGGAAATTTAAGACTGAGCATGTCGTTACAAAGGCAATGGTCCAGTCAACAATTGTGCCAAGTTTGATTGGTATTGAAGCATTTTTCATAGTTTCATAGCAGTTTGAACTTGTAAAAGGAGGCTTTTCAGTGAAAACGGCCATTTTTCACAATATGCTCATGGGGGAAAGGGTTAAGACATGTACAGGTATGTAATAAAGAACTGACTTAGGAAACAGAAAAAATAATCTCCTTGGTCAAATTGAAGAATTCATAATGTGTTAATTCTCAAAGACTTTATTTCAATATGGCATATTGGTACACACTCAAAATTGTTCATTTTATGTATTTTTTGTTGCCATCAGACAAACTTTAATCAGTAATATATCGTGATGCGACCAATTTATAGGCTTTATATTGCAATTGTATGTTTGATCTAATGTACAAAATGTAAAAAGAATTCCTTTAAAAGCACATTATGCCTCGGAAATCCATATGTATTAAATTTCTTAACAATGTGAGGCATGCATTAAATAATGTTTTAATAATGGATTTATGTTAGATGTTTAACAGCGAAAGAAAGTAAGGCTGAACGTGCAGTTATGTGTCGTAAGAGTAGCAAAATGTAGACAAAGTAGTATTTCGACTTCCATACAAAATATTTATTCCCTTTAAATATACAAATTAACCCCAAAGCAAAAGGAGCAAAGATAATTCATCTGTTTGGCAATGGCAATTTTTGGGAAACTTTAACAAGAATAACCCCAAAAAAATTTGGGAATAAAGGTTTTGAGGGGGGAAGAAGAAAAAAAAAAAATGGGAAAAGGCCGGCAATTTTTAAATTTTGGGGGGGCCTTTTTTTTAAAAGGGGAAAAAAAAAATGGTTTTTTTTGGGAATTTTTTTTTCCCCTTTAAAACCGTGGGGCAAAGTTTTTTTACTTTTTTTTTTTTTTTTGAGGAACTGTTTACCCGGGGGGGCCGCATAGTTTATTAGTGTATTCCGTTATAGCAGAGGCTAGAGCTGTCGCCAGATTAGTTAGACACGATGTATCGGTCCATTGACAATTGATAAAAGCCGCCATAGTCTCTACAGTTATAATGAAATTATTAAACTGATGAATTTGTTGTAGAAATTAAATAAATGTGTATGAATATATATTACATTTTCTATTGAAGAAAGATAAATATCTAGCCGTATATTTTAACAAAGTTATACTAATAAACAATTACGTATATATTTAATTAAAAAATCACGTTTGAGTTGTTATTATATCGGTAGTTGATTACGTGTTCCACAACACTTCTTAATATGCAACTTGGAATATACTATAATACTACAATGTACATTGTATATATTAATAAACAATACTTTCAATCAACATTATAAAAAATGAAAATCTAAACATATAGTGGACAATAATAAACGTTTACCAGTTTGATTTTTGCAAAATGCTCTAGTGGTCGCCTTCAATAAATTTGGATTGAACGTGAAGAATTGGTCTTGCGTGTAGCAGTCACCGATTGCATCAATGTAACATTTGAGATTGCACTCAACACTGCAAAATATTTCTCTTTTAATTTAGTATGCATTCATTCTTTCGTTCTTAAAAAAATGAGCATCTTTGGGAAATGGATACTTTCACAGGCTCGTGATACCAAAATGCATCACCTCAAAACATAATTTCCCTATTATTATTTACCTATAAATTCTAACTATGAAAATTTTGATTTCATGACGTGAAAGACGAATGAATACACTAATTTTGCAAATGCAGCTGCGCCCTCATTATCATCGACACCCGTTTCTAAATGGATAGATAAGACGGGAACCGAAGTATCCATACATGGTACAATATTTGTCACTAGCATAATCCATTGAATCATATTAAGCGTTTTGTGCGTATTTTATGGTATTAAAGCATTGCATAAAACTGTGCGTGATTCAACATTGATGACGCATTATAAATGAGGAAAAAGTAAGACTATGTATAAGTTCTCAATTATAGATTAGACGTTTTGTCAGACCAAAATTCATCCATGTTTTTGGAGAGCTGTAATTCAAGATTTTAGTCGCATGTGATACATTTATACTCCAATCTGATAAAAATTAGCTCTTAATTACCGTCTGATATATATGTACTCACCTTTTGCAATATGAGGATAACAAGTCCTCGGCTGTCGGTGTAGTGAGGTCGTTAGTTGATAAAGACAAGCACTTGGTTAATTTATCTGTAATATCTTGTTCTGAACAACTCTAATAAAATGGTCAAAATATTTACAGTTATTCAGAATGTGTTATGACATAATTCAGTGTGTTTTTTTTAAGAAAACAAAAATGCAACGTTGTAATAAAGATGCTTTTAATAAACATTAATGTAAACAGACAATTAAAATCTTGGTCAGCGCCCGGCTATTCTTCACCACACTAAACATTATGCAAGATCGAATTTCTTTAAAATACTTGATTTTGTGAAAACGAATTTAAGATATTTTTGATAACACTTATCTAAACAAAAAATGAAGTATAGCATCCAAAACATAGAGAGTGATCTCGTCTGTGTGGTTAAATTATTGCACTATATATTTCATGTAAATGTATATTTGATAAGAATATTGACTATAATTTTTTTAATCAGATAGTAAATATTTATATCACTTACCATTACCACATGTCCGGCAACAAACCACACAATTAAACCTAATTAAAGAAATAAATATCTTTACTGTTTATTTTATACTTATGTTGTACGAATTTTGTCATATGTGAATTCAACAAGGTAAACAATATTCAATATCCTAAAAGTGAAGATTTTAGATTTTTTAATGTCAGTCTATCTTATTATTTAAAAATAAACAAAGCTTATAAATTCCGCTTATATGAAAGTTTTAGAGCGTCCGTTCCCGGATGTTGGTTCAAATCCAGTCAGGAACTTTTATTCTTTCATGTGAGTAAGCTATCCAACTACCTTGCCGAACGTCAATGGTTCTACTCAGGTAGAATCTCGTGCCTGTGATAATGCACGGGAAAATGAATCTGAGGTATTAACCAATAATACAAGTGAATGAGCCGTGTCACGACAAAACCAACATAATGGGTTTGCGACCAGCATGGATCCAGACCAGCCTGCGCATCCGCGCAGTCTGATCAGGATCCATGCTGTTCGCTATCAGTTTCAATTACAAGTAGAGAAACTGATAGCGAACAGCATGGATCCTGATCAGACTGCGCGGATGCGCAGGCTGGTCTGGATCCATGCTGGTAGCAAACCCATTATGTTGGTTTTGTCGTGACGCGGCTCATTAATATAATACACACAGTTTGCTTTGTTTTGTATATATTCATACAGCTGGTGCCCAGTCAATTAACGAGTTATTCATTATGACATGCTGATTTGTCCAATGTTTGTGAATATGCGAAGTGGGATGTACGAGTATACTAAACAGATTTCTAAATTCGACATTCATAAAAAACTGAATTATTTACCTGCAACAAATTGGGTAAATACTGTCATATCTGAATTCGTTGAAGCTATTGGTATCTTTAGAAAACTGAAAAAAAGGAAAACGTAACTGTAAAATAGTGTGTTTATTTCAACTGATCTATTCATTTTTATATTTATACAGATTTCTCTCTTGCTGTAATTGATTTTTATTTATAAATATTTACACAGAAGAGTCTTCCAAACACGGTATTTCTCAATCATTTTAATATATAAATTTAACTTGTCAATTTTCATGCTTTTATTATATATACAGGCGTAGTTAAGATTTCTTTTATGGTTTATTGAAATTATGATTTTTTTTTAAATTTCTATCGATCATCTAAAAGACACATTTGTATTTTTCTATAATAAACAAAATATTCATGACATTGTATGTTATGTATTATGAGTAAAGCAACACTTGGTCATTTGTAACGTTGACTGTTGACTAAATATTTCGGTATTATACATAAAAGTATTGCAGTTATAGGTTGTTTATTAAGGGCAAGGTGCGTCCCACCCTACCCTTCCATCCCCATATACCAATCCTAGATTCTTCAATATTCCAACATATTCTTCTGAGATTATTTTGACCGAATAATTCAACAGTTTATACGGTGAAAATTATTAACAAAACAATCCTATTCTTTATTCACCTGATCAGAATGTAAAAGCGGTTGAATACTGCTTTTACCGTTGCTTTTAATTTCTTCTCAAAATGTACATTATTTTGCTTCCACAAAATGCATTCATGTTATATTGTTCCATACAACTATTTTCTTTTTTACATTTATTTATAAATATTGTCTTTTTTTAACTACATAGTCCGCACATTTCCTGTTTTTCTTTACATTTGTATGGCTGTTGACGTAAAACTTTTCACTGTTATTCCGATCTTTGTGAGTTGATTTACATAAATAAAAAAAGGTATCTGGTTTCAAAAGAGCTCTTCAGTTTTTCATTTAAAATTAACTTTTCGTTAAACACTTCTTTGTCATCCTATTTTAGAAAATGGATAACTTGAACCAACATGCATGAGCAGGCTCTATTAAACCGAATCCTGTAATCGTCACATCAGTGAAGTGTAAATCAATTTATTGATTTTATTTTGCGTTCAATTTAGCATCATTTGCAAAATTGAAAAACTTGCAGGCTCGGTTTAATTTAACCTGTTCATAGGCGGTATTGAAGTGTGCAAGCTACCGTTCACGCCCCCTAACACCGGCTTAAGAAGAATACCACATTTTACATGAAATGCTCAAACTTTGCACGTATATTTGTTCATACGACAGTTGTCATTGAACTTTTATTTTTTCACATTACGCGGCATATGGTAACAAAATAAACAAGAGCACCGCTAGGCGGAGCATTATATGCCCGAAAGTGTTTTTTTTTATATTAAGGATGAAGCATTTGTAAGAAATTACATAAATTAAATAAAGTATTACCTCCTTCCAATAGCAATCCTCCTATAAAGTTTGAATATTGTGGGCCAAATAGAAATTAAGTTATGCTCCGGAAACTGTTTTCAGTTTTAAAGTAATAGTGACCTTGACCTTTAACCTTGTGACCCCAAAATCAATAGGGGTATTCTACCCAATATGGACAATCATCCTATGAAGTTTGAATATTGTGGGCCAAATAGACCTTAAGTTATGCTCCGAAAACAGTTTGAACACTGTGGGCCAGATGAAACTTAAGTTATGCTCCGGAAACTGTTTTCAGTTTTAAGGTGATAGTGACCTTGACCTTTGACCTTGTGACCCCAAAATCAATAGGGGTCTTCTACCCAATATGGACAATCATCCTATGAAGTTTGAATGCTGTGGGCCACATGAAACTTAAGTTATGCTCCGGAAACTGTTTTCAGTTATAAGGTGATAGTGACCTTGACCTTTGACCTTGTGACCCCAAAATCAATAGGGGTCTTCTACCCAATATGGGCAATCATCCTATGAAGTTTGAATGTTATGGGCCAAATGGAACTTAAGTTATGCTCCGGAAACCAAATTGCTAACGGACGGACGGACGGACGGACAGACAGACGGACGGACGGACGCCAGGGGGTATAACATAATTTGCCCGAAAATGTTTCGGGCATATAAAAATGCGTGTGACCTTAAGGAGAAAACACTGTGCTGCGAAAGTAAATAAAATGAAATAATGAAAGAGGAGCAGAGGTAATGAACTCTACAATATGCATTAATCTAAACTAGTTCTAATCTATATCAACTTACAAATTTTCCATTAGGAATACTAAATTTATTGAAAATAATTATCTCGGGAATAAAAAGGTTTGCCGCTGGTTCTTGTTGCTTGGTCGTGTAGGGGTTGCGTTCATTGAACGCCGCCTTTCCTTGTTGATCTTGTTTATCATATTTTTGAAGGTAACTCTATTTTGCTATACATGTTTAGTTTTGAACAAATCCAGAACGAGAAATACTTTTTTCTTAATATTTTGCTGGCGATTCTTATCTTAAAACAATTCCTTTATCGTGACATTATCTGTAAATATTTGTAATTCAAGCCGTATTATTATTGTATAATTTCTAAAATTGTCAGAATAATCATACAGTTTTACTGTACATAGTTTTTTTATTTGTTTGGGTCGTCAGACCAAACAAATAATGGTAGCGAAATTTCAGAGTCTAATGTTGCTAATTGCAAATGCCGAAAGTAGTCCAATTTTTTGGAGCGGTTACTTCCCTTTTGTATGTACACTAAAGCCGAAAAATTCAGGGGAGATCACTGCGTAAAGATGGTCAAAGACAGGCGCATCAATTTTCAAGCAAAGTAATTCCCGAATGGTCAAAGATTTCTAATATTGTTTTATTGTATTTTCTGATCGAAAATAACTAAATACAAAGCGGACATTCAATCTCTGACACAGAAGTTTACTACAAACCTAACAACAAGTAGTTCTCAAAACAGCTAAAAACTAGCGATTTAAAAGAAAGAAATATTTTATTTTGTTACAAGTATCCAACAAATTACAACGCATTTAAAGTTAAACAATAGCGTTGGCTTATAGAATTGTCAATAAATGCACAATCACAAATTACGCGGATGAATATGATTTTATCAATGAAAATACTATTTTTAGCCATGTTGATTACCGAATACTACACAAACCGAGTAGTGGAATATATAGATTCTACATGCCGGACCGTTTGGGCGAGAGGATTTTTGCTAAAATATCTACTTCAATTATAAACAACAGGTTTAGCCTAAACAAAATACCTCGAAATTAATAAGGATTACAAACCCGAACTGCAATGGAAGTTCCAAATTTAGAATGATTTGATATTATTCAGACACACTTTGTGTAGCTTTCCGTGGTACAGCTTTCCGTGGTACAAGGGTAACGCGCTCGCCTCGTGAGTGAGAGGTCTCGAGTTCGTATCCCAATCGAGAAAACTTTTTTTTTTTTTGTTAAATTCTTTTTTTAAGTGTTTTTGTTAAGGAAGTAGCCATGATATACAAAGATAAAGTGTGGCTGTCGTAAAAAAAAGGACATAAATGATTTTTTGATGCAACTCTAGTTATGCAGAATTACGGATGTATCAAACTCTGGTGCCTTACAAAAGGAATTATAATACATAAAAATAAACTTATACAGGAAAATGCATACAGATATACAGTACGATTGCAAAGATCAGAAAATACCACAGAACTTGCAGCCGTTTGATTCTTTATAAATATACATGCTTATAGTAAGCTCCAGGATTATTTACATCTGTGTTAAACAACAGTTAAAGTCGTTACAAGCCCTAATTTAGAATAATATGGTTTTCTTCAGGCCGTTCACATATAAATTCACCGTGGCTGAAGGGTTTTCGGGCTCGCTTAGGAAGAGAGAGGTCTGGAGTTCAAATCCCAGTAAAGGTTACTCATTTTTTTAAATTGTTAAAGTCAAATAAACATTGGATTGAATATCAGTGTTGCAATTAGTCTAATAGCTAATTTACTACAATTAAAACGCTGGAAAGCATTGGTGGCACTAAACATATAATCTCACAACCTGCACCTTTCTTACATTCTGAGACCCAAACAAATTCAGCGCCTTCTGTGCTTTGATTTTCAACGAGTCAGCGATACACTGAAGTGTATCGCATTTCAATGTACAGTTTCATTTATAAACCTGTTGCTGGGAGTGTAAAATTTATCTACATGTTTAAATGTCAGATCGTTTATGCTAGCAAATATGCGCGTTTAGAGAGAGATTTTACATCAGTTAGGATAGACACGCTGTATGTGTAGCGGGTTATTTTTTTATTGAGAAGATACTTTTTGTTGTTTAGTAGGGAGTTTTGTTGGTTTGTTGAAGTGGTTGAAGATAATTGTGGTGATCTTAATTGATCAGGGTTTATTGGTTGTAATTTGTTGTTTTGGTTGTTGAGTTATATCTGTTTGTGAAGATATAATTGGTTGATATTGGTTGAATGTTTGTCTGGTCAAGATTATATTAGTTGATGCTTTGTTTTGAGGATATATGTAAATATTGGGTGCTTTAGTTTAAGTTGTTTTCTGATGCTGATTAGATTGTGTGAAGTTAATATTGTTGGACGAATGTTTGTGGTTTATACCGTATCTTAGAGTTGTAAAAATATTCATTTTTGTGTTCTTCATTTTGCGGTGATTTTATTGTTGTTTGATCATAAGTTGTTTAGAGCTTGGGCTCGCCAGGTGTCTTGTTTCGTATAAAAGACGTATACGTGAAAAGATATTTCATATAAGTGGCTGATAAATGATGTGTGTTTGTTTTGGGTGTAAATAATGATCAGAGTTCTTTGTTTTGGGTGTAAATAATAATCAGAGTTTGTTGTTTACATGTATATATTGATTTGAGATAGAAAAGGATAAAAATACCTAAAAAAAAAAGATAGTGTTAACTAAACAATTACATGCTAGTTTTCCAACTGAGAATATTTCACTTTTATGTCAGGCGGTGCTGCCCAGCCTCCATATCTTGGAAATTGGTTCTAGTATTTATTACTAAATCTTTTCTTAGATTAAATAACATCAAGGCAGACATTTCTCCTGACAAAAATAATCAATGTTCGGCACTTTTAAATGTTTTATTTTATGAGTTTGGTTTTCTACTTTTTTTGTCAAAAATGCTATTGTTTTTAACATTTTGCAGTTCAAAAGTTCTAAAAGTATCAACAATGCCCAATCAAAAATTCTTAATCTCGCAGTCGTTAAAATGAATATACATGTATTGTCAATATTAATATCTGCATCCTTTTTTTATTGTGAAACAAAGAAACGATTTATCGAAAGCATCAAAAATATTTTTAGACATAAAATTATATATATTATATAACGGCACTAGTACGCATAATAGACAACAATTTAGTTAAACAATGACGTATCGACTATTTGAAAAAAAAAATTAAAAGAAAAAAGCGACATCTTACCTTAGATATCAAGCTCCTGTGTTAAATAATGATTTAATAATTCAATTTTCAGAAAATCATACTCGCTATTTTCGGAAAGTGAGAATTTATATTGACCCACCCTGGTACGGTTATACAAAGCAGCGCGGATGATTATTGACATTTGTATTTATGTTTTTGTAGCACATGTTGTTATACACTGAGCATTTTGTTTACACTTTTCATTGTATAGGATTCATTCATGTCGGTGAATTAAATGTAAATGATTTATTTATTAAAAGTATAGAGAAAGACCTTTTTCAAATATTCATATTTTTCATAGTAGAACATACATGTCGTGCAGCATTATATCAAAATGAAACTTGTTCATAGCTCAGGTTGCTAATGCTAATAAGTATGTTGTCCCTGTCTTTGTGTCTTATTCTGCTATTGTTCTATTTTAAACTCAGAATATTGCAAAGTTTGAATATTTAAAAGAGCAAGGTTGTTTTTATGATGAAGTAATGGGTTTAGAAGATATTTGATGCTTATTACTTAAAGTATAAAATTATTTCTGATAAAGGTAGCAAAATGTAATCAAAGTGGTATTTTGACTTCCATACAAAATATCCAGTCACTAGAATTTTACTAGTTGCCAAAACGAAAAGGAAGCAAAAGATGGTTCGGCTGTTTGGCCAATGAGTGACATTCTGGATACTGTTAAATGACATCAAGCATAAGAAGCTTTTAAGAATGAAAATGTTACTATTGTTTAGTTTAACGGGGCTTTGATTTTAGGTGATCAGAAGGCTGGTAAAGTTACAAATTAATTTTCTGAATTTCAGTAAGAGACCCCTGTTGAGAGGTTAAAAGAAAAATATATTTTTCATGTCAAAAAGTATTTAAAGATCCTGTAACGCTGTTTTTTCATGTTTTTCATGGTTTTATTTCATAAATTTGATGCTCAAATTAAGATTTGTCAATATTGTAAGTTCCAATCAGCATTATTTATAAAGATATTACCCATTTTGACATTTCAAGTAAATAAAGGGAGGTAATTAGAAATTTATTTTCTTTAAGTTCTAAGTCAAATTTTCCAATAAGAAGTGAATGCATGTAATTTATTGATTAAATATAATGTGCACAAATATTTGCAGTACACATTTTACAAATTTTTCGATGTTTGATTTTTTTTATATTTGCATAATTATATACATATATAATTTTTTGCAAGAGTGGTATACACACAGTAACAATATCAATCACAAAACATACAGGATCTTCAAATCTTATTTCTTGATGAAAAAGATGTTGCAATGAAGTCGCCTGACTATGCTATATGTATTACCAAACTAACTTATTATTTTTTTCACTTTGAAATTGCGTTTGGTCGGAATTTATTTTAATATCATTTATTTATGACAATTTTAGATTCAATGCATGGGATGTTGACTAATTAGGTCCATGCAAAAGCTGCATATCTCCATTACAATGAATTGAATTTATGTGGTCTGATACCGACATATTAGCTGGAAGAAAATTGAGTGTTAAGTCTAACAGTCATGCTTATTTCATGAAATTTTTAAGATTTATCAAAAAGTAAAAATTGTGCTTACATGGCAAACGAACTTCAAGAAATTTACTAGAATATACACACAAAAACCTTATTGCATTAGGCACGTAGTAGAAATATGGCAATAAATGCTGCAAATCCGTCATCAATTGCATATAACATGTAAATTCGTTCTTGATTTGTGCATATCTTTACATTTCTTTCAATTTTACATTTCAAAAACAGTTTGGCTTATATGGAGGCATGCCGCTTGAAATCATGTGGTCAAAAATGAAGATGAATACAAAAAATATAACAAGATTAACATGTTACAGCACGTACTACGATCAAGATAAAGATAACCTTTGACATGTTTTAGTACTTTGTGTAAGCGTAAAGTCTGCACATTTTGCTACATATATCAAAACTTGTTCATGGTTTAGTTACGAATATATTTAAGTTGCCCGTGCACCTCTCTGTTACGTACATGAAATGCTCGTAGGAAATCAAAGAAAAAATATATCATGTGTAATAACGCGTTGGTAAACAAGTAAAAAATAAATTATGAGACTTTTTTTATTTGTATGATTAATTCAACAGAAGATAATAAATTAATGAATAAAGTACCTTACTGGGTATGTTCAGTGTAGAAATAGTTTTAGGGGGCGTGTATTCAAGCACCACTTGGAACAACTTTCTTTTCATCTTTTGTACTTTTTTTTCATTTTGTCAACTATCGTCAAATTTTTATTTATTTTTTTGAAAACTCTTTTTGAAATATTTGTAGTTTTTTATCTTTTAGTGTGAAATGAGTGAAAATATGGTAGCTTAACAACGTGAATAATTATATTTTGCAATTCGAATTATAGACCTCCTTTATTTTTTGCACACATGTATTTAGATCATTGTTATTAAAAATATTACGATGCCCCATAGATAAATGACAAAATGTTACGGGATTTCTAAACCCACTGTCTTTCTCTTTTATCAAAAGTGATAGATACATGTTTTAAGTAACCAATATTTTATTCAGGTATGCTTTTTTCAGATATGCTTTTTTGTTTTGTATGTTACAAGTTCAAAACTATGGTCAAGTATTATCACTTCTGAAGTTGAATTAAGTTGAAATAAATAAATAAATAAATAAATAAAAAAAATATTTAATTGATAAAAAAGAAATTTGTTTATGTTCTATAAAACTGATACGTAAGCTAAACATGGTAAACTTTTATTAATTTTGTATTTGCGTCAAAAATAACATAAAGTTTAAAAATGTAATTAAGTTTAAGATGACTTTTCAAACATTGTTTACATCATAAATAAAAATAAAGTAATACAAATATCAAAAATAAATAAATAAATATCAACTTACATGAGATGCTGTTGCTACCAGAACGAATACAACGCTCTCGATTATCAATACACATAAATTATAGCCTTAATTTTCGGAAAAAGCAATCCTCCCAGGTACGCCAATAAAACAGCTCGTGTGAACAAAGTCAGTGATGCAATAGTCTAAATAACTAATGTACATTTTATGAGGTTTATGTATTGATTAAAATTAGGTGTATTAAAGAATTTCATGATATTAAAATACACTATTTTTTCGAAACAGGTGTACATTTTATGACTAAAAGTACAAGCACATCAAATTTCGGCTGCTTTCATAAAAGCGCGGGAAAAAAGACTTCCGTATTCATGTTGATGTTTGAGACAATAATTTGAGTCCAACATAATGGGTTTGCGACCAGCATGGATCCAGACCAGCCTGCGCATCCGCGCAGTCTGATCAGGATCCATGCTGTTCGCTATCAGTTTCTCTACTTGTTATAGGGTTTGTAAACGAACAACATGGATCCTGATCAGACTGCGCGGATGCACAGGCTGGTCTGGATCCATGCTGGTCACAAACCCATTATGTTGGTTTTGTCATGGCGCGGCTAATTTTTCATTTCATAGTTTTCTATTTCGCCCATGTCTTAAACTATCTGTAAACATTTAATGCAATGAAACACTATCTCTATAGCCATGCTTCTGTGAAATTAACGTATTTGTTTTTACACACCGGTAAATAAGCTAAAACAGAAAAAAATGGTATTTGCATAAACATTGAAGCTTGTTATTTATTATTCCTAAATCTCAAACTCTTACACTTACCATATGCGTAATGAAAAGAAATAAACTTCAAAAGCTAAAGATATCTCTTAAATTTCATTTTTCAGCATATAAATTCATGCTCACTCATTGAGGGCAATCAGTTTGTTATTTAGATATCTAAATTGTATATAACATCAGATGAACATAAAATGTTAGCTGTTATTTGTATTTTCAACTCAACATGTTTGATATCTAAAAAAGTAAACAACTGCTTCGGGCTTAAAACCTTTCGATGTATTTTCTATTTTCTTTAAAATCGATATTGAATAAGTTTCCTGACGTAAAGGACTTGTTTTAGTTCTATCCAGTAATATATAACAAATTCAACCAACCGCGTACATAACGTGTAATGAATCAATTTCAATAAAAGTCAAGCATTGGACGGGGAAACTAATGTTAATTTCATGTTGACTGTAATTCTACTGCATTAGAATAACTAAAAACTGACATTGATTATTTATTGAAATTCTGTATAACAACTGCGCATTTAGTTTAACTTGTTTGTTATGCAAACGGGACATGTTCAATTTATGAGATCAATCACTATGTAGTAGGTTAACTTCTAAAGAAAAACTATCCTGATTAAAAGACGTAATTCGTAAATCACTTTATTGTCCTGTTGAATTTCCTTTTAGAGCATAATGATTGAAAGGCAAACGGTATTTGACTGAAATTACGTAAAGTCGGTTTCTATTTAAACATCAGTCTGTGGTGATTTAGTTTAATATGTACGTTGATTTGTGCGCTTAGATACACTAGTTTATTACGTAAACGGGACACGGTCGATAAAGTGGGCCATTCGTCAACTGCTTAGTTAAGAAGGACATAACCTTATAAGAAGATCATTAATAGGAGTTCTTTGCGGTTCCTTTATGCAACAAGTAGGTCAATTCCGGTAGAAACGGTAGAAATGTTATTATTCTAGAACAATTTTGTCTGAATTCAAATAGTTAAAAAATACGACACATTAGAGAGCCAAAGAATTATTCGAACTACTATAAAGCTTGAGTCTACATTACGTAAATGACATATATATCCGGCTTGTTTAAACAGTTGTGATCGTCACTTCCGGCGATGTTTAGTTTCTCTTTTGAGATATTGCATATATAACTTGAGGTTAGCTTTTATTATTAATACCTACTTGACAAGTTTGATATCAAAAGAAGCAAACAACCTCTTTGGGCTTCAAACGTTTAATTTCTTTTTTTATTTTCAAAAAAATATCATTCAATCAGTTTGCTGAAGTTAAACACTTGTTCCAGTTCTACCCAGTAAAACATAACTATTACAAGCAACCACTTACATAACTTGTCATTTAACAACGCCAATTACAATAAAATTAACTTGATAGGAAATTTTTTGACTGCTCATTTGATTTTTATTATAATGTAGTGGAATACTTATCAACCGTATATTATTTGAAATTGTGATGTCGGTATCTATTAATAATTTAGATGGTGCTTATTTATTTCCACATGTGCTTGCAATT